GGATGGGGTCTGCGAGGTCCGAGTCGTCCATGATGTGCTGGTCGATGCGGCGGAAGGGGTTGAGGACGGCGAGGGTCTGGGAGGGGGGAAGTGTCAGCAAGGTCTGGCGAGATACAGAGAGAGCGAGAGAGAGAGAGAGAAAGAGGGACGGAAAAAAGGGCACAGGCAGACGCACCTTTGTCTGGATGTGCTTGAAGTTGACGCCCAGCTCCTCCAGCAGCGGCGGCTCGCCGTCGTACCCTCGGTCGAAAAGGCGGCGAGCCAGCCGGTGCGCAGACCGCCCTGCTCGCCCATGCGTCCCGACACACCTGCGCGGCGCCGAATCCGCCGCCGAACCCAGGCGATCCCGCACCGCCAAACTGGCCGCCCGGCTGGGCGCCGTATCCGTAGGAAGCCTGCTGGGGGTTCCCCTGGCCCTGGACGCCGGGCCCGTAGGAGGAGGGGTAGAACTGGAGGTTCTGGGCGCCGGCGCCGGCAGAGGGACCGGCGCCGTAGCCTTGGTTTGGTGGAGGGTTGTAGTAGTTTGACATGGCGGGTCGTCGTTGTGGGGGCGGGAGGGAGGGAGGTGGTTGAGGTTTTGGTGATGTGAACAGGTTGAAGCTTGGGTGGGAGCGAGCTTTCGTCTAGTTGATCAAGCTGTCTGCCTGCGTCGCCAGAGCGCACGGCGGTGAGTGGTCTGTGCATGGGGTGCCTGGCGTGCTGATTAAGCTGGCTGTGTCGAGCCAGGTAGGATCCTTCGGCAGAGGCACGGAGTGCTGTGAAATGCCTGGAAGAAGCAGAGCAGATGCCTGCGTTGGGTAGGGAGCACCTTGGGTGTGTAGGTTCCTTAGCAGGCGGTAGCACTACAGCCGTATAACATGCCTACACTCAGGTGCACTGGGAGTAGGAAAAAAAATTGAGGTAGGCAGCATCCTAGCCAGCCAGTGCTAGGCGACGGATGTTAAGCTAAGCCGCTTTCTCTTCTTATCCGTTTGTCTAGGTTCTTGGGTTCATGACAGTGCTAAAGTATTGATATTGTTGGTGGGGAAAGATTATCTATTATTTGGTACTATCGCAACGATGCAGCACAATTTTACAGTCCGTCTCTCATTCCGCCTTCTTAAAGTCGCTCTCCGTCTCGAGCCACGCCTGCACATCCTTGAGCCCCGGGTGGATCTTCCGCAGCGCCTCAATGTCCGCATCGTAGCCCTCCTCGGCAAACCACCGGAACATGGACCCGAAATCCTTCATGAGCCACATGATGATCGACACGAGGATGCCGTTGGCATACGGCAGGTCCCGGCCCGTGGACCGCTTGAAGATGGCCGCGAACTCGTCGAGCGTCGGGTTCGCGCCCGCCAGCGACACGGCCCTGCCGGCCCACGCCTCGGGCTGCGCAAAGGCCTTGGCCGCGAAGACGCCAATGTCGCTGACGGCGACGAGCTGCAGGTTCTTGCCGCCGGCGCCCCTGCGCCAGGCCGTCGGGAAGACGCGGCCGAAGAAGTCGTCGGTCAGGTTCTCCATGAAGGCGACGGGGCGCAGGATCGTCCAGGCCATGCGCGTGCCCTCGGCGCGGGCCAGGAGGTGCTTCTCGATGGCGTGCTTGTGGATAAAGTGCGGCACGTCGGTCGGGTTCGTGCCCGACCGGTCGCCGTGGCGGTCGACGGATGTGTAGACGAAGAACTCGACGCCCGCCGCGAGGGAGGCGTCGACGAGGCCCTTGCCCTGGCGCTGCTCGTCGCCGGCGCCGGCCCCTATGCCGACCTGCACGCTGAAGACGCCCCAGATGGGCGCGCCGCTGAGGGCCTGGGCCGTCTTGAGGACGAGGCCCGGGTCGGCGAGGTCGCCCTCGACGAGCTTGATGCGACTCGACTTGTGGGCGAGGCGCTGTGCGGAGGCCGAGGACGGGTTGCGGGTGACGGCGAGGATGTCGAGGTCCGCATTGTCGGCGACGAGCGTGTTGATGACGGCGCCGCCTTGCTTGCCGGTGGCGCCAAAGATGAGAACTGATCGAGCCATCGTGGTGATGTAGTGTTGGTATGCAGGTCAGGTTGATCGATCGCTGGTGTTCTGTGAGGATGGGAGTGTGGTTATGTGGTTTGAATTGATTGCACTGAATAGATCGATTGAAGTGATGCACTGAATAGATCGATTGAAGTGATGCACTGAATAGATCGATTGAAGTGATGAATTGTGGACGAGATGTGATTGAAGAGATCTGAACGCAAAAGGCAGTCCATTTGCTCAGTCTTATACCTCTCCAGCGTTGCCATGATCGCGTCACACAATCGATCAGCTGCATGGGACGCACTCGCGCATGCTGAGAAATGCCGTGGCAGATGCGCTCGCTGTCCGACCATGTCCGTCCCCTTAGGACCAAAGTCTCCATAGCTCCGGACGCGGTCGGTGTCTGGGTGGGGGCCTCCTGTCGGCCTTGGTCGGACACCGGCCTTACAAATTGTGCATTTCGCTGGCTGCATTGCTAGGGTTGTTCCCCCCCAAGTCTCCTCATCACCACCTGCATCGGACCCAAATTTGCGGCTGGTGTCGTCCGTGATTATCAACCATGGCCTTTTCGAGCTGTGTCGACAGCTTATCGGCAACAAGCAACAATGAATGAAGGGGGTCGAGTGCAGAAAAGGTGTATGAGTTCCATATTCCGTAGCTGCCTATTCCACAGGGCATGAGTGTGCCTGGAACTAGGGTCTGTAGGTAAGTAGGTACCTACCTAAATAAGGAAGGTAGGCAGTCACAGTGGGCAAGCTATGGGAGGGGCTGGGCGCACAACCACCTGGCACCAGGTGAAGGCCACTGACCAAGCGAATGCCACCACCAACAACAATCCTACCGACCTACCTACCTACCTACCTAACCTTAACCAAGTTGGCATATCTCAGTCACGAGGGTCACAGAATCGAAACGTGTTTTCCAATACAACTTTCATTCATTATTCGTATCCAGAAATATTATCCAAGAGATTGTATGGTTTCCCCCCCATTCGTCACTTTTTCATCCGTCATTCTCGGTAGAGACAGACTCCCATGCGGCAACGCGCCAAAGGAAACGCCAACATTACGAACTCTGTCATAAACACCGCGCCTGCTGCTCAGCATGAGCCGAGGCAGTTCCTCACACCGACCAACACACAACTGATCATCCAAGACGCTGACGAGCCCGGCCATGATGCACCAAAAAAGCGACGGCGGCGGGGGGGCCCCGCCCCCCACTTTATAAAAAAAGAGAGGGGGGGGTTTTTTTTTGTTGGGGGGGGCGCGCTGAAAAAAAAAAAAAAAAAA